TTTTTACCACCTTCAACGCGTTTTTACAGGGGCATTGGCTGGATTAATAGACATCGCTGCTGACTGGATGACTGACCTGAAGGAGGGCATTTGCCTTAGCGCACTGTGGTATAACCATGAGCAGTGCTGCTGGGGATCTAACGAAACAACATTCGAAGAGAGGGATAAATGTCCACAGTGGAAAACATGGGCAGAACTAATCATAGGCCAAGCAGAGGTGAGTCTTGCTTTGTCTCAAGATAATTGATAATTGATACGCCAAAATGTCTCCAATTCATTTAATTGTAGAATTAATCACGTATTGGATGATTGCGCCCACATTAAAGGGAAAAAAAAGAAATGTAATAGAATAGAATGGAAACTATGAGACTAAATTACAGCAAGAAGGAAGTAAGTACAGTATTGTTTCAGGAACCATTTGTATTAACTCCATAGTCACGTACAGGTCTATTGGATTATGATGCAAATATGTTTATTTCGAGTTGTAGAAAAGAAGTGATAGTCATTGCAGTAGGATCTGTGTAAAGTTAATATGAAGTCAACTTATTAAAACTGTTTAATTTGTATCACTAAGGTTAGGAAGTATGGATTATGAAACTATGAATTATCAAAAAATGTACAATAAGCCTTGTAAGTGGAGAGAACTTGAAGAAATTCAGAGATTTTTCTCTGTGGCATTGCAGTGTTATTTTGCCACTCCCATGTTCTATAAGGAACATCATTCTAGAACTTAGTTTTTTTTTTTTTTACATGATCACATATGGATATATTTTTAAAATTTTGTTATAGCTGAACTTTAAAGCTAAAAAGAATGTATTTGTTGGTAAAACGTGCAATGTGCTGTTTCTCAGCAGAGGTTGAAGTATCGCTGAGATGTCTTGGTAACAAGACTTTGGGATCAGAAAAAGCCAGGAAAAAGATTAAATGGGATTAAGGCTCCTTAGTATGTATAGGAATTAGTTCTTGGATTCTACTTAAATATTTTGTTCATGTATCTTTTATTATTGTGAAGATAAACCAGGAGGCTTTTACACATTTTACCCAAATTTCTTATGTGGTAAACACTTGCATTATTGCTGCACCGTAAATTAAATTCATTCTCTTGAACTATTTGCCTTCTAGGGTCCTGGTTCTTATATCATGAACTACATAATGTATATCTTCTGGGCACTGAGTTTTGCCTTTCTTGCAGTTTCTCTGGTAAAGGTATTTGCCCCATATGCCTGTGGCTCTGGAATTCCAGAGGTAAGCCCTGCAGTACTTCCTGTCATTAAGCCATCAGCGAGATGCTTATCTTTTTGCCTGTGGTGGGGGGGAGGTAGTTTGGGGGAGGGGGATGGTTTGTTAGTAATATGAAAAAGAAAATTTTGAAAGTATAAGCTGATTGTAGACATCATTGAAAAAAACTCTCCCCTATAGTCATTTTAACATTTACTGTGAAGGTTGATTTTTTTTTTGTTTTTCCTCTCACCACTAATTTAACACATGGCCAAGCAGATTTTCAAAAGACTTGGTTTAACATCTGAAGCCCAGAAAAAAATATCTTGTGGCCTAAAGTTATTTGATGGATTAGTTGATATTTTGCTGTTATGACCCTGATTTTAAAACATTCATTCTCTTTTTATAATTGGCTTTGATTAGATAAGTTAATGATTCTTGAATTTGGCTATTGTATGCCTTAAGAAAGCATTTGCTCATAGTGGGTAGTATTACAAACTTTTAGGCCTTATTTTTCAGTAATAATTTAAGGGAGAATTATACTTGGGATTAATTGAACTTAATGTGAGCTCATTTCTTTCCCTTTTTTATTTTTCTATACTTAAATAAGTTACCAGCTTTTTCCTAACACATTTCTTTTTTAAAATACATTGTAGTTATTTTTAAAGCTGTATTAAGAATATCTTTAATAAAAAGCAGTATCTTGCAGTATTTAGCAGTTGTCATTCATTCTTCTTGATATATAGAAAAATATTACAGATAATTACAGTACTCTGAGAAGGCATAATATTCTTTATTTCTGACACAACATCCGAAATGTATCTCAATATGTTGTGCTTATTTCTACAACAGAAACTTTCAAATTTGCCTTTTCTTGGTTATGTAATTATAACCCTGGTAATTAAAGTTTGTATTCATTTTAACATGGCCTGATATTTTGATTTTGTTCATGAGATAAGATTTACCTTCTAGCCTTGCTTGGGTAGAGAATTAGAATATGATTCAGATTTATTATGTGTAGCATAATAGGTAAATTCTTGAAAAATTAACTGCGAATCCTTCCATAATTTGTTAAAACGTGCAAGGTAGTTTTTGGAAGTTAAACAAGAGAATAACTTGGATTCATTAAATTCTCATGTCTCTTAAAGAAAACTAAGCTGCCTAATCTTTCCTTTGTAGATTAAAACTATTTTGAGTGGATTCATCATCAGAGGTTACTTGGGAAAATGGACTTTAATGATTAAAACCATCACATTAGTCCTGGCTGTGGCATCAGGTTTGAGTTTAGGGAAAGAAGGTCCCCTGGTACATGTTGCCTGTTGCTGTGGAAATATCTTTTCCTACCTCTTTCCAAAGTATAGCACAAATGAAGCTAAAAAAAGAGAGGTAAGTGTCTTTCGTAGTTCATTTGACAGAAAAATAATGTGTGTATATAGACTATGTCAGTGAAGAATTTCCTAGTGTAAAGATCATTTTTTTACTTTTTGGATAAATTCTATATTCCAATTAGAATTTTTATTTGACATTAGTTGGTGTTTCTTTTCCCTTTTCTGAATGATCTCTGACGTCTTTCTGGAATCATTCCCAGTACTCAGCTGCTGTTTCAGAGAAGCTTGCGCTAGACCAGCGGTGTCCATTGGGCTTCACTTGAATTTCCCAAACATCTTTCCATTTATTTTCACTTTGACTTACATCTTTCCTCTTCAGAAGTGTTTTCCAAGCATAACACTGTTTTTACTCTTATTTCTCAATATTAGTATGTCTCTAGGGTTGAGAAATCTTAATGGCTGTGTTTTGCTCCTGGAGGCAGTGTCTGTTAGAGCGGAAGTGGTCGCTGATGTGCAGAGTCCCATCCAGCACCCCGGGGAAGTCCTGAGGGCCTTTAGGATATTTGCTGGATTAAAGTAGTGAAAGCAATATAGACTCCTAGAAAAATAATTACACATAGATGCTTAAAGAAATTATATGTACACTTGGCTTCATGCCAGTAGACAGTGGGCCAGTGATAGGGCGTTGAAGAGAAGACCCAGAAGAGCGTTTGTGGACTTTTCTCTCCCGCTCACTTTACTGTATGGTTCTGGCTGGCGAGACTGTAACTCGAGGAGACGTTGTTTGTGCTTTCACAGTGAGGGGCTCTGTACCGACAGTAGTATTTTCAGAGGAATTAGAACAGTGAAAATATATGGAAACTCACCAGGTTTTAAGTTCCTTGGATGTCTTGCTAGGATTTGGACTAGAGTAATTATTAACAGTGAAGCAGTTAGTTCTAAAATCTGTAGAAATGATACCCTATTTAAAAATAAACAAAACTCCCCCTTCAAATCCCAGTTAGCTCTCCTCTGGTCTGCTCAAACATACATATTAAAAGTTGTCTGTATTCATTACCTCCTCTTCTTTACATCCAATTCACATTACTGTATCTGCCACTAATGTTTTTTGACTGAACAGTGAATATATGAATGACCTTTCCAGCAGAAGAGAAAAAAAAAATCTTTTTAGAAGTAATAAATACTTGCCTTTGCTTGGGGAGGAGGGAAATACTCAAGTTAAATTCAGAAGAGGCATTTGAAAAATTCAAGTAACATGAAGAATTTTTATTTGGTATTTTTCCATTTATAAGAAATTACGAAATAAGCCACATCCTTTTTCTAGGTGCTATCGGCTGCCTCAGCTGCAGGTGTTTCTGTAGCTTTTGGTGCGCCAATTGGAGGAGTTCTTTTCAGCCTGGAGGAGGTAGGTAAAAAATACATCAATTAAAAGTTTATAGAACTACCATTAAAAATATATTTTGGCACACATTTCAGTTTTATAGTTGATATAACAGACTTCATTTTTAAGTTTTCAAATGTATTTTTATAAAGTTGTTTTTCACTCATTCTTACATAAAAAGTAATATGCTATATATGTTCCATACCTGGGGAAGAATATTTTTAAAATCTATTATTTATGTATAAATATTAGTAATTATTTAAAATTTAATTTACTCTGTTTACATATTTAAAAGTAAGAAGATGTGAATTTGGCTTAATAGAAGACACTTAAAACTATCCCTATTGGCTAAATTATCACCTGTGTTTCTATTTTAAAAGTTTTCATCAATTCTTAAAGTTTGTCTTGTGTGATTATTTCTGTTGCAGTTATTGATGTTTAAGGAAATAATTTTAGTCACTTCAGTGGATTTTTTTTTGGTTTCTCATTGGGCCTTAAGACTTTGTACAGGTTTACACAAAAATGTGACAAGGGATGTTTTTAAATTTACTTTTTTCTTCCAGTTTCTGTTCTTTTCTTCTTTTTTTAATATTGAAGAGGCAAACTAAATACATCTTTATAAGCTAACAGGACTTGGTGATGGTACCTTTATTTTTAACTACCATGATTGAATTGGACATGAAATTCATTTTGAAAAAAAACCAATGCTAGGTATTTTAAATAATTATTAGGCATTTATGATCAGTTGGTATTGTGAATTTGTAATGATGTGATAGCCAAACATAATAAAACATTAATATTTCTCTTACTACAGTAAAATTCATTACATGTAAATTATAGCTGGGTATGGGGGCTCACGCCTGTAATCCCAGCAACTCAGGAGGCTGAGGTAGGGGGAGGATCACTTGAGCCCGGGAGTTTGAGACCAGCCTGGGCAACATAAAGAAAAAGAAAAAGAAAGAAAATTAGCTGGGTGTGCCACACCTGTAGTCTCAGCTACATTGGAGGCTGAGGCAGGAGGATCCCTTGACCCCAGGAGTTGAAGTCTGCAATGAGCAATGATCATGCCACTGCGCTCCAGGTGCGGTGATAGAGGGTCTGTCTCTAAAAAAAAATAATAAACTAAAAAAATTCTAACTACAGCAAAATTTAGAATTAGCTGCAGCAAAATTTAGAGATATGCTATTTACCATTTAAGTCATAATATATCAGAAACATTTTATAAAATTATAGCATTAATTTTTCTTTTTTTCTTTTTTTTTTAGGTTAGCTATTATTTTCCTCTCAAAACTTTGTGGAGATCATTTTTTGCTGCTTTAGTGGCTGCATTTGTTTTGAGATCCATCAATCCATTTGGTAACAGCCGCCTGGTCCTTTTTTATGTGGAGTATCATACACCGTGGTACCTTTTTGAACTGTTTCCTTTTATTCTCCTAGGGGTTTTTGGAGGGCTTTGGGGAGCCTTTTTCATTAGGGCAAATATTGCCTGGTGTCGTCGACGCAAGTCCACCAAATTTGGAAAATATCCTGTTCTTGAAGTCATTATTGTTGCAGCCATCACTGCTGTGATAGCCTTTCCTAACCCATACACCAGGCTAAACACCAGTGAACTGATCAAAGAGCTTTTTACAGACTGTGGTCCCCTGGAATCCTCCTCTCTTTGTGACTACAGAAATGACATGAACGCCAGTAAAATTGTTGATGATATTCCTGATCGCCCAGCAGGCATTGGAGTGTATTCAGCTATATGGCAGTTATGCTTAGCACTCATATTTAAAATCATCATGACAGTTTTCACTTTTGGTATTAAGGTAAGTGCTAATAGGTGATTTTAAGTAGTCTTGGCATGTTAAAATTTATATGTGGAATGACAAATGAAATTTTTATCTGAAGGTCGTGTTTCATAAATATAGACTGAAAAAAGTACTTACCTTTTGAGTTTAAGTAATGAACAAGATAATTCCTTAGGCTATATTGTAGAGCATGTTGTTTGTTGCTATGTAACAAACTACCCCAAAACTTAGCAGCTGAAGATAACTGCTTATTTTGCTCTTGATACTAGGTCAACAATTTGGGAAGGGCTCAGCTGGGCATTTTTTGCTTATAGTCTTTCATGCAGTTGTTATCAGACATAGCTAAGGCTGATTGTCTCAGAAACTTCATTCAAATGTCTAGCACCTGGGCTCTTGGGATTGATTGGTATCTCTCTCTCTCCCTCTCTCTGTCTCTGTCTCTGTCTCTGTCTCTGTCTCTCTCATTTTTCCAGCATGGTGACCTCAAGATAGTTGGATTTCTTACATTGTAGCTTAGGGTTCCAAAAGCAAGTGTCCCAACAAGAGGGTTGTTTCTAACCTAGCCAAAGAGATCACGCAATAGGATTTGTTTTATTCTATTTGTTGAGGTAGGGACATATATTTAGTGGGACAAGTATCAGAGAATTCATGATCATGTTCTAAAACCACTTATATTAGTTTCCTACTGCTGCTGTAGTAAATTACCACAAACTTAGTAGCTTAAAACCATGCAAATTCATTATCTTGCAGTTCTGGGGGTCAGAAGTCTGAAATGAGTCTCACTGGGCTCAAATCAAGATGTCCATAGGGTTTTCTGAAGCTGTAAGAGAGAGTCTGTTTTTTGCCTTTTTGGCTTCTAGGGGCTGCCCACTTTCCTTGGCCCACAGCCTCCTCCTTCCATCTTCAAAGCCAGCATTGGCTGGGCAAGTCTTTCTCTTTTCTCATCGCTCTGATACTTTCTTTTTTTTTTTTTGAGGCAGAGTCTCACTCTTTTGCCCGGGCTAGAGTGAGTGCCGTGGCGTCAGCCTCGCTCACAGCAACCTCACACTCTTGGGCTCAAGCGATCCTTCTGCCTCAGCCTCCCGAGTAGCTGGGACTACAGGCATGCGCCACCATGCCCGGCTAGTTTTTTTCTTTTTTTCTATATATTTTTAGTTGTCCGATTAATTTCTTTCTATTTTTAGTAGAGACGGGGTCTTGCTCTTGCTCAGGCTGGTCTCGAACTCCTGAGTTCAAACAATCCGCCCGCCTCGGCCTCCCAGAGAGCTAGGATTACAGGCGTGAGCCACCGCACCTGGCCCCTGTGATACTTTTTGAAATCCACATTTTAAAAACCCTTGTGATCACTTTTGGCCCACCCAGATAATCCAGGATTGTCTCCTGTTTTATGGTCAGCTGATTAGCAACTTTAACTCTATCTGCAACATTAATTCCTCCTTGCCCTGTAACATGGCACAGTCACAGTCTCTAAGAATTAAGATAAAATGGGGTGTGGTGGCTCACGTCTGTAAGTCTACCACTTTTGGGAGGCCGAGGTGGGAGGATTGCTTGAGGCAAGGAGTTTGAGACCAGCCTGGGCAATATAGCAATACCCCATCTCTATAAAAAAATAAAAACATTAGCTGGGTATGGTTGTGCACACCTGTAATAGTCCCAGCTACTCAGGAGGCTGAGGCAGAAGGATCACTTGAGCCCTGGAGGTTGACAGTGAGCTGTGATGATGCTACTGCACTGTAACCTGGACAAGACCTTTTCTCAAAAAACCCCAAAAAGATGGACATCTTGAGAAAGCCATTATTCTGTCTGCCACCCCTCTGTAGGGTGTTAGCTTAAAAGGACATTACAGAGTCATTTAAATTCCTAAGCTTCGGAATACATGCCTTTTTCCATCAAGAATTTAAGGCAGGTAGGCCTTATGCCCTGGTGCATTGCTGCTTTTGACCTCTTCCCATGAATCACCGAAGTTTTTAATGGCATTTAGAATGGTGAATCCT